CTTTCTCTTTCTTTCTTTCTTTCTTTCTTTCTTTCTTTCTTTCTTTCTTTCTTTCTTTCTTTCTTTCTTTCTTTCTCTCTTTCTTCTTTCTTTCTTCTTTCTTTCTTCTTTCTTTCTTTATTTCTTTCTCTTTCTTCTTCTTTTCTTTCTTTCTTTCTTTCTTTCTTTATTTCTTTCTTTCTTTCTTTCTCTTTCTTTCTTTCTTTCTTTCTTTCTTTCTTTCTTTTCTTTCTTCTCTTTCTCTTTCTTTCTTCTTTCTTTCTTTCTTTCTTTTCTTTTTCTTTCTTTCTTTCTTTCTTTCTTTCTTTCTTTCTTTCTTTCTTTCTTTCTTTCTTTCTTTCTTTCTTTCTTTCTTTCTCTTCCTTTTCATATGATTCTCACAAGAATACCATGGCTTCTTTATTCCAAGTGTATCTATAGTCATTTGTCAGATGAAAAAAAAATGAGGATTTGAGAGCAAAAACGACTTGCTGAAGTCTTATGATTTCTAGCCTAATGTTCATCTCCCTTATGACAAGTTTTCTTTGGGACTGAGTTCATCTGATTAAATTAGAAAGAAATGTGGGCATTAATATAATGTAGCTAATACATCTGTGCTTGATTTCTACTAATCACCCCACACACTGAAGTTCAAAACAACCATATTTTTGTCTTTGTAGGCCAGAATACAAGGCCTGTTCATGCCAGGCAATCCTATATTTACTTTCAGAAAATTTTTTTTTTCCCTATAGAAATAACTATCAGACCAATTTAGTTTTCACACATTGGCTAATTCCATTTTGCTCTTTAGATTTATTTCAATCTGTGTTAAAGTAAATGCCCACCTGCTCTAATCTTTTTTCACTTCTAGGACGATCAGGGCAGAAGTGTGGGATTAAATCTGTTCACACCAACTCCTCCTTTGGCAATATGGGGTACGATATAGTGATAACAGTGAATGTCCACTAGGTGGCAGTATGACACAACATTACACCAACACTCCCAATTCTTGTCATAAAATGATGTCTAAAGATGGGGGGAAAATAAAATTAAAACTTTAGAAATCATTTAATTCAATCCTATTTAACCTCTCCCTGAACCACAATTTTACATATAAATAAACTAAGCCCCAGAAGGTTGAAACAACTTGCTAAATATAACAAAGCTTCCAAGGGGAAGTAACATGATTAGAACCTGGGCATCCTAAATCCTACCTGCCTTAGATTCCCTTAAATGAGCCTGAGAACACTTTCCCCACACAATTATTTTTCTAAAAAGATTCAAAAAGGGAAAAGAGCCAGAAGATTTGAGAGGTCGCAGTATGAGGAGGTACCAACTTTTATAAATAGGGTTGGTGTTAAGAATATAAAAGACATTTTTTTTTCCACAAAATTATATTTTAGCCTGTAATTTTACTTAGAGCTCCTGGTGGTTTATTCTGGTAATTCTGAGACCCTAAGAATCCTACTATCAATCTTATACAAGTCACATATGAAGGTGTCCTCATCTCTTCGGTATTTCCTGATATTAGAAAAATACTGAATCTCCTTGCTTACAGCCCAGCCGCTTTTCCTACATCATCATGATGCTTTTATGTTTATTTTTATTGATATCAAACTGAAATATTTCAAAAGCCTTGAAAGTTCATATTTTCAGGTAAGCATGGTTGGTGAGCAGTCAGAAAAGCACGCATATGCCTACTCTGGATTTCACGTGCACAGAACCTTAACAACAATTGTTGTTGTTGATGATGTTCAGTCGTTTCAGTCATGTCTGAAGCATATATTTTTTCCCCTGGCAAAGACACTGGAGGGGTTTGCCATTTCTTCTGCAGCTCATTTTACAGATGAGGCAACTTCAGCAAGCAGGGTTAAGTGAATCACACAGGGTCACGCAGCTAGTAAGTTTCTGAGGCCAGATTTGAACTCCAGAAGATAAATGAGTTTTCCTCATTCCAGGCCCACCCCTCTATCCACTGAGCCACTTAGCTGCCCTGTTTTGTTTTTTTTAATTTTATTTTTAGTAATATCATATATTTGGGTTGTATTAGCTATAGACTAAATACAGATTCGGTTTATACTAAAGACACAAGTATTTACTAATTTGACTAGTAATTGCATACATGCTTCTTGTTCCTTAAGACTAATTCTGCTTCCAGATTATTAATCTAATTTGCTCCTTAGTCACCCAATACCTACTTCTAGCAGTTATAATTCTCCTGTCACGGATCTTCTATAACAGCTTCTCCAATGAGTCCTGGAACTTTGTGCATAAATATGCTTTAAAAAATGCTACAGGCTTAGACTCTTAAAATCTAGCCACTGCTTATGTGATTTAGAGGGTCAAGGGTGCTGGACCCCAAAATCACAACACGTGGGACCTGTTTGAAAGAATTTGACCGAAGCCTTCTTTCAGCCAAAGACAAGGTTTATTAGAACATCCATAATATTGGGCAGACTCTTAAGGAGTCTGAATATTAGTGAGCTATTGGCTAGATTTTAAGAATCTGAGCAGTGGCTAGATTATAAGAATCTGAGCGTCTTAATGGAGACAAGATGGACCTTATATACAGAAAAGACTGTGAGAGGGACCTAGGAGTGGCCAGTAAGCTGGGCCTCAGATGCTAGCTGTGTGACCCTCATCAAGTCACTTGCCCCTGTTTACCTCACTTTGTCATATATAAAATGAGCTAAAAAAAAAGAAATGGGAGACTATTCTATTATCTCTGCAAGAAAACCCTAAATGGGGTCATGCAGAGTTGGACCCTACTGAAAAAACTGAACTACAACATTGTATTATTTGATCTCCACTAAAGACTGGTTTCCTTCCTCAAATTCCCCTTGTTGAATATGTGTGTGTGTATATGCATACACCCATAATGTATGTGTGTGTGTGAATGTATATGTATATGTGGAATTTGTGTGTATATAATATATATATATGTATGTGTGTACGTAGACGTGCATACATCATGCATATACCTCTATATATGTATGTGTTTGTGCATATATATATATGTGTGTGTGTGTGTGTGAGCAGTTTTTTTTCTTTCCCTGTTAATTTGTTCTTACATGTATCCTACTTTTCACTGCGTGTATTTTGATGCAATTATCAGACTGTTTATGGTCTTTTTGTTGGTTTATTTCTCTCAGTATTTATATTTTCTAACTCATATCCATATATTCTACCTATCATTGCAAAGAGAATCAGACCCAATACCTACTTCTAATTATTCAATACATTTCCATTCAAATCATATGAATTCAATAAACATTTATTAAGCATTTCCCCCCTGTGAGTATGGCACTAATTTAGCTGATAGATATACAAATACACTTTAAGGAAAGGAAAATAAAATTGATTTTCCTATTACCTATATCATTTTGCTAATTAAATTGAACTTCAAAAATTATATAATTCAATCTGATTCAATAATCATACCTTAAATATATACTGGGTACAATACAATCAGATGAGCATTCAGCTACAAGGAGACTCTTGGAGGAGAGTTTACATTCTTCCATTCACATCTTTGTCCAAATAGGTGGACCACTGACATTTTTAATTATACCTTTGTATTCAGAGTTTGCCTTTTGTGGTCCTACCAAATCTAATCTGAAAGACATGACAGCATATTCCCTTAGTTAAAAAAAAAAAGTTCTTACTTACATAGTGATTTCCATTCACTATTTGTTTCAAACCTTAAAAATTCCCTCTGAAGCATTAATACTGTCATTTCACAGATTACAAAACTAAGCCACAGAAAGAGTCACCAATTCACCTGAGGTCACACACCCATTGAATGTCAAAGATTCAATTCAAACCTAGGTGTATGTGATTCCCAATGCAGCACTTCACCTATCCCTCTGGTTGTAAGTCATGAGCTTTTGAAATTACATTATCATGATTTCATTAATGTAAAGAAGCAAGGTAAAACACAAAGGATAGGCCTGCCAGTCCATCTTAATTTTCTTAAATAAACAAAGCTTCCATAAAAAAACCCTAAAAACAAAAAACTCTGAAATATTAACCTATGTCTCCCTGACTCCAAGACTAGTTCAGTATCCATCAAATTAGATGTGGAGAGATGAAGAAATTCAGTGAACATATTTGTTCTTCTTTTTGAAAGCGCTTTTTCTCACTCTTTTTTTCTTCATTCTTTCCATCTTTTCTTTCTTCCTTGCACTTTTTCTTTATCTCATTTTCTTCCTTTTCCTTCCCTTTTCCTCTCATCTCCTCTCTTCTCTTAACTTCTGCCCTATGTTGACTTCTATCCAACCCTTCCTTCCTCTTCCCCCATCTCCTCTTCTCTCCTCTCCTCCCTTTCCTCTTCTCTTTCCTCCTCTTTCCCCTTTTCTCTATGTTTGTCTGTCTGCTCTCTCTCTCTCTCTCTCTCTCTCTCTCTCTCTCTCTCTCTCTCTCTCTCTCTCTCTCTCTCTCTCTCTCTCTGATAGACTAAGGAAAACCTCTAGGATAGAGTTTTCCCTTTGTCCCACTTTTCCATACAAGATTTGAATTGAAAGATGGTAAGTTGTTTCAAGGAGATCTAAAAAAAAAGTTCTCTCATCCATAATGTTTATATAACAACAATGACAGGGGAGGGGGACACATTATCTTACCTGTGAAAACAATTGGACAGTTTACAAAATGTTTTAGTTTCATTGGCATTTAAAAAGTCTACTATTGGGGCAGGAAGAAGAAGGGGTAGGCTCCTCCTTCTGCTAGCTACATATTTATAAACAAACCTTTTCCTGACCTAATATCCAATATTGTACCAAGGTTGGTCTGTCTGTCTTCATGTGGTCACTTTTTAGGACTTATGTGCTCTTGGGCCAGTCATCTCTCTTTTCTTGCCATCAGTTATTTTTTCCCCCATTTTGACAGAGTATTTTGTACTAACTACATGGTTCACTAGTCTTTTCCTACTCTAAATCCTATTTGCTTCAGACAAGACTTAAATGGGCACTGAATTATCAATTATGTTTTTCTAACCATGAAAACCTGGTGAGAGATTTTTTTTATCAGAAAATGAGTTTTCTTCTTAAAAACTTGTTTCTGCTCCATATATTCATCACTGCTTTTTTCATGTCTTTATTTTTCAGAGTGTAGATGAAAGGATTGAGCATAGGAGCAATGATGGTGTAAAAAAGGGCAAACACTTTATCCTCACTGAAGGTGGTGGCTGGTCTAATGTAAATGAAGAGTACAGGGCCAAAGAACAAGACAAGAACAGTGATGTGGGAACCACACGTAGACAGAGCTTTTCTGCGGCTGTCAGAAGAGTGTCCATGGAGGGTGTATAATATCATAGTGTATGAACCCATAACCACTATGAAAACCACCAATGCAACCATCCCTGAACTTACAATCACTAAAAGTCCCACCCTTTGAGTATCAATGCAGGCAAGTTCCAATAAGGGATATACATCACAGAAATAGTGATTTATCTCATTGCGACCACAGAAGGGTAAAAACGTTATGAGTACAAACTGAGAAAATGAATGCAGAATTCCCCAAGCAAAGGCAGCTAAGACCATCATATTGCACCTCTTCCTGCTCATGATCACCTGGTAATGCAGAGGTTTACAGATGGCCACGTACCGGTCATAGGCCATTCCTGTAAGAACAAAGATTTCTATTGCCCCAAACAAGTGCATTGTAAAAACTTGGATCAAGCAGTTGTTGTAAGAAATGGTCTTCCTTTCAACCAACAAGTCACTGATGAGCTTTGGTGTCACTGTGGAGGTATAACAAACATCTACAAGGGATAAATAGGTTAAGAAATAGTACATGGGTTGGTCAATGAGCTGACTGACCAGGATGGACATCATGATTATCAAATTTCCCATTAGAAGAGCCACATAACAAAATGAGAATAGTACAAAACACAGAACCTGAACCTCATTATTTTGACAAAGTCCTAAAAGAACAAATTCAGTGCTGTTATTCCTGTTTTTCATGGTTCATCATGAACAATGGCCAGTAGTAAAATCTGCAAGGTAAAAGCAATAAATAAATATAGGAAATACAAATTGAGGAAAATGTATGTCATAACCTATTCCCAGCACTTAGAGAAATGTAAAAGATTTAAGTACATTGGAAAATGAAAATTCAGTATATAACTGAAGTATTGACCAAGTATGACTCTAATTGGATTTGTAACAAGTAGCATTGATATCTATTTATAATGTTAGTACACAATAACATACAGTATCAGATTTGGCAGGGAACCCAGAGATCATTTCCCCATGCACTACTGGAACATGAATTATCTCTGCAATATTTGTAATTAAGACTTATCTCACAATATTTTGAAGACCTCTACTACCTCCCAAGTCAGATGAAGTACAAAACTATAAATCGCTATGTAATTAGGATCAAGGTCAATACAATTAAATAAATTGTTTAAACTCTCTTAAAAATATTTCTTATAGCTTAAAATATCTCTACACCAGCCTTGTAGGGGGAAAATATATTAAATAATCATATTAGAGAAATAGATCGACTTAGTCAAAAATGCAAAAATTATCAATGATACAAAATAAATGACATATGAAATATTCATATGTATAAGAAATAATAGTTTATTATCTTTAGTGCTTTAAAGTTTCTATATAATTTTCCCTCTAGCATTAGCTCTGTGATATTATTGGGAATTTTATGGACATCATGGTTGAGGAAACAGAAGCTGACAAAACTTACTTGAATACACTTTGATTATACTATTGATCAATTTCGGAACCAAAATTTAAACCATTATGTCTCTGGACTCCAAGTCCATTACTTTCACCATTATTATATATTGTTTCCAAGAAATAAATGGGTTACTTAAATACTGTTGGGTCTGAATATTATTATCTTTTGTAGAGTTTTAAGCATCATAAGGAATATTTTTAGGCAATTAGTATATACACCTGGTCACCATGTGCTTTTCCTAATCTGAATTACAATTGTCAATTGCATGCTTTTTAAAAGCACTTTCTACAAATTAACTTACTTGAGACTCACAATAACCATATGAAGTATTACAAGCATTGTTATCCCCATTTTGTTTATATCAGCTATAATTTAATTACCTAGTTGTTTTGTATTATAGAAACAAAAAGTAAATGCTTAAACCTGAGGTGAAAAAAATAGTTTGAAATAGGTTAAGTGACTGAAGAGGAACAAGTGTCCCTCAGGGTTCTGTCCTGGGCCCTCTTCTCTTCTTCCTACTACTTCATTTGGTAATATTATTAACTCGTATGGACTTGATTATTATTTCTGTGCTGATGATTCTAAAATTTACATATCCTGCTCCACACTTTCTGCTAACCTCTAATCTCCAATATCCAATTGCCTTTCTCACATCTCAAACTAAATGTCTGATAAGATCTTTAGTAAATATATACAAAATAGAATGTATTTTCTTTTACCCTAATCCTATGACCCTCCTGATTTTCCTATTTCTGTAAAGGGCAGCACGCTCTTCCCAGTGCCTTATGCTGGCAAGCTAGAAGTCATCTTGGACTCTCCACTGTCTCTCAACCCTCATATCCAAATTATTGACAAGGCTTTCAATTTCATATTGGCAATATCTCTTGTATATCCCACATTCTCAATTTTGACACTGTCAGCACTATAGTGTAGGCCTTCCTCACTGCACATATGGGCTATCACAATAGCCTACTAGTAGGTCTTCCTGGTCAAGATGATTCCCATGCCAAACCATTCTCCATTCAGCCATTAATGTGATTATTCTAAAGTGTCACTCTCTTACCCAACAAACTCCATTGGTTCCCTATCATGTCTTGTGTCAAGTTAAAACAAACAAACAAAAAAACTGAATGCTTTTGTTTGTATTTCAAAGCCCTTAATAACTAGCCTTTCCCTACCTTTCTGGTCTTCCTGCACCTTACTCCCTCTTGCACTCTCTGATTCAGCATCATTGACCTCCTCCCTGTTCTATGAATAATACACGTATTCTCTAGACTATGGATATCGTGTCTAGCTATTCCCCCATGTCTGGAATTCTCTCCCTCTTCCACTCTGCCTGCTGATTTCTCCATCTTCCTTTTAGTGCAAAGTAAAATCCCACCTTTTACAGGAAACCTTTTTCCAATCCCTCTCCTAGTGCCCTTTCTTTATTAATAATCGCAATCAGTATTATTATGAAGCTGAAATGAGATGACGTATATAAAGCAAATGACAAAACTATATTACTGTATTGTTATCATCATCATGATCATCATCATCATCACTATTTTTACTATCCTTGGGTAATCAAGTCTACTGATGACTTCATTACTGCACTGTTACTGAACTCAAGCAGTGTTTATAGAGCAATAAAGGAGTGTGTTGGTAAATTCTTGGATCTGAGGAAAACAAAAATAAAATATTCGCACATACTTTCAAGTGTAATATGCATTATTAGAACTTTCTAAATTCCAGGCAATCAACAAAACAATATATCAAGTCTTGATTTTTGGCGATTGCCAGTTTCTGAGATATTACATGCTCACAAGGAATAGCTAATAATTGGCTCTTTGCAAACTGGTTAGAGCTTGCCCCAGCATACTCCCTAGCCTTACCACCCCTCCAGCCACTTAGATTCACATGCTCATTGTCATGCTCAATTCTTCACCCTCTTTCGCCACACATGTCCAATCACTTGCCAGATTTTGATCATTCCTCTCTCTCCTGTGTCTTTTGCATCTCTCTCCTCTTTAGTCATACAGCCAATACATAGTTTAAGCTCTAATAAGCCACAGCCTTGAGTATTGGAATGTTTTTTTCCCCTAATTTGTCTCCCTGCTTCAAAACTCTCTCTCTCTCTTCTCACTCCTACACATTCTTCCTTGAGTGATTTTCCTAAAACAGAGGTCTGATTATATCTCATCCCCTACAGTAAAATTCAGTGATTCCTTATTTTAAAATCAAATATGTTTGGTTCTATTTTTCATTTTAATTATTTCACTACCTGGTGACAAGCTGAACCTCAGTATGCATTACTCGCCTTCCATTACACTAGAATCCAGCCAAACTGAGCTATGCCTTTCTTTTTAATCTATTTCCCTTCTCTCTGTCTTTTGTCCTCAATAGCTGGGATACACACAAAATACTGAGCTCTGATTATGAGAATCTATTTTTTTTTCTTCTTGTTTTTCTTTTCATTATTTATTCTTTCCAAGTATCCTTTGGTCTCTTACTATGTCTCTGAAATATCCTGCAGACATTTTTGACAAAATGCAAAATATACTCATTAAGAAATACAATTTATTAGAGAAAATCAACAGATCTTTTTTTATAAAAACTAATAGCTTTTCATAGACATATAATCTGATACATTCCTTAAACTACTGATTTCAGATTTCTTCATCTAAAGATATCTGTGATACCCAGTGCCCTGACTTGCAAGACGATATTAAATTATTATTTGCAGTTAAATGATAAAGACAATTTCTGAGAATAATTTTAAATAAAAATTGTCCTTTCTTGGAGTTAGCGGCATCAGAGATAGAAATATATTTTAATCAGTCACACCAGTATTTTATGAATACTATTTTCACATTATATCTTTCAGGACTTGCTCTATCAGTTTTGGTTTTAGTGTTTACAACACTATAAAATTAGCCTCACATAAGAAAAAGGTACATTTTCAAATATTGAATACAAATTTCTAAAATATAAAAAGCAAAGTAAACATTAATATTAATATTGAGTCATGATCCTTTATAAACTAATAACTTAGATACTTTTTTACTCAAACTCTGCTAAAGTACTACCTTCAATATAAAAGATATATCTGCTTCCTGGGAGCTAGCCTTACTTATCCCCTTCCTCCCCATCTCAAAAAATTATGTTATCATTATTATGTGTATTTTACATATGTATATGCTTTCTCCTCCGGTATGATGTAAGCTGCTTGAACCCAAAGGCTGATAACACTTGAGCTTGTGACAGTGTCTAGAACAGCCTTCATATTTTCTAAATGCTTTCTGATAGATAAACTTCACTTTAAGATCATAGATTTAGAGGTGGAAAGGAATTCAAAGTTTATCTAGCCTCCTTATCTAATTTTAAAAAAAGAAAAAAAGTGCAATCACAGAGGTTAGGATCTGTTCTAGGAAACATAAGTTTATAAAATGCAGGATTTTGATACAGGCCCTCTGATTTCTGCTTCTAAACTTCTGCTCTTTATCACACTGTTCTGCTGGAAAAGACAGGGGTAGGGTTGGAGGAATCAGACAACTATTGCCAAAATCTACTGATGTAATTCCATATGGGTGTCTTATTTTTTGAACCTAGGTAAAGAGTTTTATATGTATCATCAATACATGTTGATGTCAACCCCATGGCAGCACACTAGGTGCTGGTAGTGACTATAGGAATAATTTAACAATAATACATACATATATATATATGAATAATTTAACAATAATATATATATATATATATATATATGTATATGTATAATACATATATATGTATGTATATGTATGTATTTCACAGAATAGGAAACCATTCCAGTTTGGTGCAGTACATTGTCCATGGTCACATAACCTGTGTGTATCTTGGCCTGAAGTCTTTGCACTTTTAGAGTGGTCCTCCCTTCCCCATACCACTCTTTTTCTTATGTGCTTTACTCTCAAATTCTATTTGCTTTACTTCCTGTATCTGAAAACTGTAACTGCAACAGTTTGAAAAAAAATAATTCATTAAGTCTCCTATTCTTACAGTATAATGGAGTTGATGTAACTGCTGGGATTTCCAAGGAAATTGATGGAATATTTTGCTATCATTGAGAATTAGAAGAATATGAAAGTTACAGTTACTCTAGGAATTCCCCCCAAATCTTAATATGCTAAATTAATTAAATTTGTTGATATACAGGACAATTCACAAAAATGGGAGGTATAAGGAAGACAGAGGAGAAAAATAGAGAAAATAGTATAGGGAGATGAAGAATGAAAAACTACAA